TGCAAAAAAAAAATTGGTACAGAAAGTACTGGCTTAAAGTGTAGAGATCTTTTCTATTCTGTTCGATTCAAGAGGGTTCTGGAAGCTTCTCTGTGTGACACAAGCTGGTGCAAGCTGGAAGTTTCTAGCTAACAAGCAAGCTTCTGTTCCGCCTAGAAACAAGCAGAAGGTTCCTGGTGTTTCGGTTATTCCTTCAGAGAAGTTGAGTACAGCTGGCTTAAACTGGTTCTGTTATCTCTTTCCGTCAAGCTTATACTGAATATAATAAAGGTAAAGGTAAAGGTACCCCTGCCCATACGGGCCAGTCTTGCCAGACTCTAGGGTTGTGCGCTCATCTCACTCTATAGGCCGGGAGCCAGCGCTGTCTGCAGACATTTCCGAGTCACGTGGCCAGCGTGACAAATCTGCATCTGGCGAGCCAGCGCAGCACACGGAAACGCCGTTTACCTTCCCGCCGGAGCGGTCCCTATTTATCTACTTGCACCTGGGGGTGCTTTCGAACTGCTAGGTTGGCAGGCGCTGGGACCGAACGACAGGAGCGCACCCCGCCGCGGGGATTCGAACCGCCGACCATGCGATCGGCAAGTCCTAGGCGCTGAGGTTTTACCCACAGCGCCACCTGCGTCCCTACTTAATATAATAATAGGCAACGAAGATCCCCTGTGTTGCGAACAGGAAAATCTGGCAACATTAAAGCAACACGTCACACTAATAATTTGATTACAACACTTTACTAATTTGTAAATTGATTACTAAATTGTATCTTCATTCAAAGTAAAGTGACATACAATTTATACAAGGTAACACCAACTAATGTAACTTAAGAGAATTTCCCAAAGTAGGGGATTTTGGGGGATGGTGTATCAAACGGAGAATAATTCAAGTTTGAGGCAATATGCCTTCCAAATTAAGTATAAAGTCCCAACCACAGCACAGGTGCGCCTGGTTATATACACGACTTATTCACTGAATCAGTGAAAGCTGAACCATTTGCAACTTATGTACCTTCTCAGACCTCTTATTTGCTGAGGAACAAACTTTGAAACAGTCGGTTATCCAGGAAGGACTGTCCTGCTACTGCCTCTGGAGCACCAACTTCTTTCAGCATGTTCACTGCTAAATATATGAATAAGATACAATTTAGAAGCTATATAAAGTGTTGTGATTATTATTATTAGCCTGACGTGTTGCTTTTAGGTTGCCAGACTATAATAATAGGCCAGAAGGAGCCTGGGTTTCACTTTCTGTCTCTCTTTCCTTCTGGTGTGGGGTTCTGTACGCTTAGTATGCTTAGTGTTAAGGTTTTGGTCTTATTGTAAGTTTAAGTTAGGGACGCGGGTGGCGCTGTGGGTTAAACCACAGAGCCTAGGACTTGCCAATCAGAAGGTCAGCGGTTCAAACCCTGCGACGGGGTGAACTCCCGTTGCTCGGTCCCTGCTCCTGCCAACCTAGCAGTTCGAAAGCACATCAAAGTGCAAGTAGATAAGTAGGTACCGCTCCGGCAGGAAGGTAAATGGCGTTTCTGTGCACTGCTCTGATTCACCAGAAGTGGCTTAGTCCTGCTGGCCACATAACCCAGAAGCTGTACACTGGCTCCCTCTGCCAATAAAACGGGATGAGCGCCGCAACCCCAGAGTCGGCCACGACTGGACCTAACGGTCAGGGGTCCCTTTACCTTTTTTAAGTTTAAGTTAAGTCTGCTGCAACTGGATTTCTTATGGACTCTGCCGATCCTGAAGATGTATGGATTTGTGACCATTATGCTCATTTGCCTTCAATAGTAGTAAACTCTGCTGGATGAAGATCTGATTGCCTCTGGTCTATTTTTTTATTATTATTATTATTATTATTATTATTATTTTTGGTTTGGTTTTTTGGAATCCTGCAACGTTTTTATGTTTTTAATCTGCTAACTACACATTGGGGTCTCCTTCAGATCAATATGAGCAGAATTCATGACACACACATGGATGGAGGAAACCTGGGTCCAAACGCCTAGTCAGTCACTGGACTTCCCTGGGCTGGTCAATTTCTCTTGGCCTGGCCTCTCTCACAGGGTTCATGTGAGGACAACAGAGGAAAGAGGAGAGGAGGAAGCTAGACTTCTTGGAGGAAAGGTGAGATAAATCCGCAGTCAATAAATAAAGCACAAAAACTACCAGACTGGAAAAAGGTAGGTCAGGGAATAGCTCTACCATTCCTAGGAGCTGTTTGAAGCGCATCAACCCACAAGCTCAGCCTAGCACATTGACAACAATGGTTTTCTATGCTTAACTTGTCCCAGGTTGCTAACTCACTGGGGAATCCCACTTGTGCAAAAAAGGGCAAGTGTGATGTCCACAACCCCGCCACTATTCATGTTGGCTAGGGCAGAAGGGGAGCAGTGAAGAAGCCTGAATTGGGTCCATTGTTGTCACACGAGGGCTGGATTTTCTGGATCCTGTGCTGGCGCAGTCCCTCATCCCCCAGGTCAGGGTGTTTCTGTTGGCTAGTGCCAACAGGAATGTCCCTGGTGGTAGCTTCCACCCAACATTTCAGCAAGCACATTGCATGCATCTTCTTAGAAGAGCTTCTCCACCAATGGTGGAATTCTTCCAACAGTGGAGGCCAGCAGAGCTGGGCAAGGCTGGGCAGAAGGACATTACCCAAGCTTCCTCCAGCACAGCAGATTCTGGGCTTGGATTGTTCTGCCAGTTTTGAGATGAGCAGCTGAATACTGTTAGTATAAAGGGGTTGGGGAGGAAGACGCATGAACTCCTCGGAGGAATTGCCGGATATACAGCTAATAAATGAATGAACGTGTCACCATGCTAGTCTTGTAGCTGGAACATACAGGCATCTGTTGCAAACTGTTGCTTGAAATTATTAAATCACCTGCAAATATTGAATGTCTGTGTCAGAAAGCCAACCTAGACATTAACACAGACAACATTTCCCTCGTAATGTCCAGGGGTTGGTGCATGGTGTCATATTGTCAGGTTCAGATTCTCCCACCCCAAAATGAAACCAATGAATCAGAGCAGGAAAGGGAAAACCATGAACCCAATGCAACAATACCCTGAATTTCTTTTAACTAAACATTGCTGGAGAAGCACAGATTGATACACTCACATAGCAACTATAGTTAGGCCCACAGATTTCTCTGAAACTGTTCTCTCCTAACAGTTGTACAAATATTTAGTATTCCCAGAGATTCTAAACCCAGGTGAATAACCAACTGATTAGCTGGGTTTTGCTGCAGTTTTATCTGTGTTCCAAAATCCTACATCAGAACTGAACAAAATCTCTAACCAGAGTCAGTAGCTAAGAGCAATATTTAACTAAGCTTTCTTCAAAGTAGACCCATTGAAATTAATGACTGAGTTAGGTCCATGAATTTCAGGGGGTCTAAGAAAAAATTAGTTGAATGCCACCCAAAATATTCAGGATTATAATCTGTACCAGCACCATATGAACCCAGAACTACACAGTTCCTGCAAGACTAACCTTTTAGGAGCTATTGCAAGAATTGCAAAGTAAAGAAATGGAGTACAGTGCTAACATCTCATGTGGGAACAATGTTAGGTCTCAAAGCTCAACATATACCCATCAGATGAACCTACAAAATGGACTTTCCTCTTCAACATCATGCCAACTGCTATTGTGCACCGAGCTGTCTTAAAACTAAAGCACACTTTCAGCCTGTAGATATCTGCCTGGCAGACCACTAGCTTTCTTGATTGACAATCAAATCTGAAAACATTGTAAATAAGCGACAATGTGGTTTCCAGACTACAACTCCCATCAGCCCCTGCCAGCACAGTCACGGTTCAAGCATGATGGGAACTGAACCCCTTATGGAGGCCACCATGTTGCCTACTCTACTATCTATGGACTTTGGTGATTTGACAGATCTAACACTCACAGAACCTATAAATCACCATTGGTTGCAATCCCAGCAACTAAAGTGCCCTTCTGCAAGCCTGACAAGTAGAAAACTCCTCTACCTGACTTTGCTATGGAGACGATGGCACCACCTCTGCTTGGTCCCTAACCCAAAAGGTTACTAGCAGGCAGGCAATCCATGCTTCCTCCATCCTCCATCAGTGCTACAGAAGCAGCAGCAGTTAAGCATCAGTTATCCTTACCAGCACAGCTGCACCAGGAGATGCTCAGGTGCCAGGTGTGAGTGAAGCCAACAGAGGAGCAGCATCATGCCTGACCCTCGGCAACGCAGCGAGCCCCAGCTTCCACAATCAGAATGTAAATGTGGAAATCCCAAGGCGTGTATTTTTAAGCGCTATGGGGAATGTACATTGTTTTTTATTGGCCTGTACTAGCCAGTTGTCTCTACAAAAGGGGCTGGTACATTTTCCTCTTTCTCTCTCTGCCACGGTGGGGATCTACTTGCTGTAAAACAATGATGTGCGACAAATGTTGGCGGGTACATGAATATCCTTTCTTTCATTGCTGCCGTGACCAAAAGAAAGGCAGAAATACAGGTGAGGGGAGAAGGGAACGTGGAGAATGACCACCACCTCTTTACCACACAATTCGGGAAAGGCAAGTTGAAAGGGGCTGTGTTAAGACTGCGTCCGCCCCTTTCGTTTTCCACATGGGGATAACAGCTCTTTCCCAGGTTTTTCAATCCATTTCTGATGGATCTACATGCCACATCTCAGCCTTGGTTCTGATGCTGCCACAGCAAACCCACTCCAGAGACTCCGCTCGGTCAAATGGCGTGTTGCCATTGGAAAGGAGGAAACATAATCAAGGGGCCATCTTTACGGGTATTTACAAGGCATGCGGACATCATCGGTCTCATCATTGCAAGCACGTTGGAGGTTTACAATGTTTATTTGAATGGCTCTCAGCTCCTTGTCGCCACGAGCATCAACACGCATGACACAAAGGAACAGAAACTCGGAGAAAGGGGGGAGAGAGAGAGAGAGAGAGAGAGAGAGAGAGAGAGAGAGAGTAGTGAGAATGCATGGGGATGGACTCTCTGAAAACATACAGACCTTGGAGACGGCTCAGGCGGCTGCTCTTTCCTTAAAACAGAAGCAAAAGTACATTAGCAGTGGAGTCAGGCGGAAGAGGGAGAATGGTATTCACAGTTGAAGACAAGGAGGACAGGATCAGACAGAAGGTGGAGACAACGCAGGGGGAGGAAAACTATGGGACACACAGAGATACTCAACATAGAAGCAGCTCATCAGGTGTGGCAGAGTGGTTTTGCTAGCTTTCCGGCAGGTGGGTTACTCTTACTTACCGTGAGGGAGAGAAGGAGGAGCGAGGCAGCAGGAAAGCTGGTGTGGTGCAAATGCAACGGCAGGTGCACCAGAATTGGTTCTGCTCCTGCGTTTGCACCACACCAACTTCCCCGCCACTTTGCCCTTCCTCTTCTCTCCCCCACCCCCAAGTAGGCAACAGGTAGCCATCTGCCTGGAAATTGGTATTGTGGCTCCACTCCACCCAGCGAGCCCCTATGTACGCACAAATCAAGGCTGAAACAAAAAGATTGAAGCACATTTCAGAATCGGGCTCTTTGAACCATGGGGTTGGATCAAGGTGACTGTTTTTTTAAAAAACGGAGTCATGCTCCTTCTCAGTATGCCAGTCTCGAAACATCACACAGGGAGCTGTTCCCTCTAACTTTCACGCTTTCATGTAACCTGTTTCCACAGCTTGAAAATAGCTCCGTTTAAGACCGATCCACATTTCTGTGTGATGCACTTGCAACATAGAAACTTCGCTCTCCCAACAAAGTCACACAGAAAAAGAGGGTAATCCATCAATTTATGGACCAGACAGGCAGAGCAACACTTAACATGTTAGAGGTGACCTCGTCTGCATTACACAGTCTTGTGGACTAAATCGAGAAGACATCGTCAAGGCCACAGTCACTTCATGGTGATCTCTGCTTCCGCCCCTCTTAAAAAGAGGATAGATTTGTAAAGTCTTCGAATAAAACTTTCAAGAAATCTTTGGTGAAAGAGGGCAGGTGACATATGTGCTATAAACACCCCAAAATCGCCCTGCACAAAAACAGAAATTGCTTCAAGCAATGAAGGAAGGCCAAAGGAGAGAATAGTCAAAAACTGATTTCAAACAGAGAATATATTATAGAAAATAAAAATTCTCAGTGCATATTGCCAATGTATTTTCTTCAATGGCGATAGTTCTATATAGTTTCCTGTTTCCACCAAGAGCTGCCAAGAGTTCTGGTTTTCAAGTGGAATGCCTCTCTAGGAATGCCAGGAGACTCACAGAGCTAGGCTGCCCTTGGTGGGGAAAAACACATTATTTCAACTAATTATTAATTTGGCACCTGCTGAAGTTTGTTTCTAGTCTTAAAAAAACCAAAAAACAATTATACTCTCCTTTCTTCTTTTTATTTTCCTAGTTGAGGCAACTCTCTTAGCAATATTGTAATAGACATTGGCAGGAAAATAAAACTTTTCCATAATGCATTATTATTTCGGCTTCCTGAACTTTCCTGAAGAACCAGCTTAATAAACTGTACCTTATAACTAAAGTCTTTGTTGCTACAATCTCGTGGAAGTATATTAATATTAAAACATGAGTTATATCCACACTTCTTCTTTTTTAAGAAGCCGGCTGCTCTTTACCCCTTGCAATCTGTTTTTACCTAAGCTATATTTGTGTCAAGTCAGTGTTTTGAAGCCACAAGCAAGGTCAGCCATGCACTTGCAGCACATTTGCAAACTCAGGAAAAGTAACATATGGTTCACATATGGAGGTCAAGAGAAAGAAACTCAGTCATGGCCTAAAAGTCATAGGATTTATTTTGAAATTCTTCAGAAGCTGGGAAATGAATATTATTTCCAGGTCATGGCTGGGGAATTTTTGTAAAGTCAATAGACCGTGGTTTAAAGTGTATTCATTTTAGGTCTTTTCTTTGTTGGAATCATATGGAGGGAATTTAGATAGCAGCTAAGTTCTTCCACCAGAACCTCCCTGGCTCTTCAGTCAGAATGAAAACACATTTCTGCATTTTAACCTCTCCTCTTTGGGACAGCTCAGAAAGATCATGGGGGCGTCAGATTATTTTAAATTAAGAAATGCATGTTCCCTAGACTCCCTTAGGAAACACTTGAAATGTTTTTACTGGTGTTTTTGTATAGGTCTGACTGGTGCTGGTACTCTGGATGGCTGCCCTGGGCACAAAAATTCCTCGAGGGGCCGGGGGGGGGGGGAATTACGTGTAAAACAATTTCATGTTTTACAGGAACTTCATTAAAATCTTGACATATAGTTATTACATGATGTGTGATGATTAAAAATACATTAAAATGTCACACATTAAAAACTTCCCTGAACAGGGCTGCCTTCAGATGTCTTCTAAATGTCAGGTAGTTGTTGTTCTCTTTGACATCTGGTGGCGGGTGCCACTACTGAGAAGGCCCTCTGCCTGGTTCCCTGTAGCTTTGCTTCTCGCAATGAGGGAACCGCCAGAAGGCCGTCGGTGCTGGACCTCAGCGTCCGGGCAGAGGGTGGAGATGCTCCTTCAGGTAGCGTCACAGACACATTGTGATTTGTGATACGTCGCCATGTCAAATATTATGAAACCGTTAGCACGATGTGGACTTCAAACCAATTTTGGACGAACGTATCAATACATTACTCAGTCCTAACTAACACACACACACACATTGCATGTTCACATAACACATATAAAGGGTGCCTGTGGAAGGAGTCTAGTGTTGTCTGTGACATTTTCTTTGGGGGAGTGGGCTGGATCCACGGCCATCTAACTCACCTGAAAGTCAGTCCAGATTTGCTCTTCAGGTTCCTCAGGAGCTCCAGCTGGTTCAAAGGTGGGATGAGCCTAAAACGGAAGAAGGAGAAATGAGAGGAGGAAAACTTAGACTGAGACAAGAAGCCAACCGTTTCAACTTCTTGTTATGGAAACCGCTTCCCTCCCCTGCAATTCTGCCTTGCAAATACAGAAGGAGAGGAACGGCTTTTAATAGCTTAAAAAGGTAAGGTAAAGGTACCCCTGCCCGTACGGGCCAGTCTTGCCAGACTCTAGGGTTGTGCGCTCATCTCACTCTATAGGCCGGGAGCCAGTGCTGTCCGCAGACACTTCCGGGTCACGTGGCCAGCGTGACATCGCTGATCTGGCAAGCCAGCGCAGCACACGGAACACCGTTTACCTTCCCGCTAGAAAGCGGTCCCTATTTATCTACTTGCACCCGAAGGTGCTTTCGAACTGCTAGGTTGGCAGGCGCTGGGACCGAACGACAGGAGCGCACCCCGCCGCAGGGATTCGAACCGCCGACCTTTTGATTGGCAAGTCCTAGGTGCTGAGGCTTTAACCCACAGCGCCACCTGCGTCCCTTTAATAGCTTAGACACCCCAAAAGAAGGCGGGGATGAGATAAAAATAGCAAAATGTGGTTGGGGAAGGCTGAGGAGGACCGCAAGGATTAGTTAAACCTGAACACAGCCGTCAGCGGTGTGTCATACTGCTGTTTCTCAGGAGGCAAGGCTGACAGCAAAGCTTTCCCACCCTGTCCTCAGTTTTCAGAGCCTTCCCTTTACATGACGGTCGCCTCAGAGGTCCATCTTGCCTCTGAAGCTTCCTTCCATATAAGCCTCATAAGCTCTTCCTTGGACTTCAAGGCTAACAGCAAAGCCTTCCTAGGAGGAAGACCCAGGAATCTAAGTAAAATCTTTAGTGTAAAGAGAATGCCATAGAAAGCAGTGATGTATGGGGAGTTTGGCAAAGTATCACAACAAGGTTTTAATCCTGGTGTTGTCCATGGGATTGAGTGGGATGAAGAAAAGAGTCTGCAAGTGTTGAGGGAGGAACCCACAGAATCCTCAAATCATATTTTTATGAGATCTGGCTTCTACATTAAAATAGGGCTTCCATCCATCAGGGCTAGGTATCAGCTGTAGTTTTCCCTGCACTCTTCTTCAGAGCTCTGAGGGCTGAACTACATATTACACTTAACACAACGTGTTTTTTTACTAAACACTATCCCCATGTGTTATGTGGGTGGGGTGGGGAAAGCATTTTCTTCCTGATCTTAGCTGGGGTGGGAGAGATTAAGCCTCACCTCTTCCCATGCTGCAGTCAGAATAACAATTGGGGCTTCCTTCACCCCAAATCAAGGGGAAACAGAAGACAGAGCTGCATTCCCCTGTGAGGAAAGCCTACATGACTGGGGCTTCAGGGTTTGAGCAGGGAAATGAAAATAAAGGGAGACATGATTAAGGAGAATTATGCATTGTGTGGAAAAAGAGGGTAGATATTTTTTCTACTTATCTCACAACACTAGATATAGTAAAGGTAAAGGGACCCCTGACCATTAGGTCCAGTCGTGACCAACTCTGGGGTTGCGGCGCTCAGCTCACTTTATTGGCCAAGGGAGCCAGTGTACAGCTTCTGGGTCATGTGGCCAGCATGACTAAGCCGCTTCTGGCGAACCAGAGCAGCGCACAGAAAACGCCGTTTACCTTCCCGCCAGAGCGGTACCTATTTATCTACTTGCACTTTGACGTGCTTTCGAACTTCTAGGTTGGCAGGAGCAGGGACTGAGCAACGGGAGCTCACCCCGTCACGGGGATTCGAACTGCCGACCTTCTGATCGGCAAGTCCTAGGCTCTGTGGTTTAACCCACAGCGCCACCGGCAATGACCACCAAATCAGATTGTTCTAATGGGGGGTTAAAAGGTAAAGGTACCCCTGCCCGTACGGGCCAGTCTTGACAGACTCTAGGGTTGTGCGCCCATCTCACTCAAGAGGCCGGGGGCCAGCGCTGTCTGGAGACACTTCCGGGTCACGTGGCCAGTGTGACATCGCTGCTCTGGCAAGCCAGAGCCGCACACGGAAACGCCGTTTACCTTCCCGCTAGTAAGCGGTCCCTATTTATCTGGGGGTGCTTTCAAACTGCTAGGTTGGCAGGCGCTGGGACTGAGCAACGGGAGTGCACCCCGCCGTGGGGATTCGAACCGCCGACCTTTCGATCGGCAAGCCCTAGGCGCTGAGACTTTTACCCACAGCGCCACCCGCGTCCCAAAGGGGGGTTAGACCAATGCATTTTATAAGGCTATCAAAGGCTAGAAGTCATGATGTCTCTATGCTGCCTCGACAATCTCGCAGTTGCTATGGGGTAATTGCAGGAGGGACTGTGTTGTATTCATATCCTGCTTGTGGGCTTTGCAGAGGCATAAGCAGCATATCCAAAGACAAAACGTTGGACTAGATACTCTAACCACTACACAACACTGCCTTCCTAGAGTACTTCTGCCATGGGGCAGCTCTGTAAATTAAGTTGGTAAATAAATATGGGGAAAGCAGAATGCCCCTTAGAGAAGGATCTGAAATATTTTCCTGGAAGCTTGAATTTGTTTTATTCTGGGTGGTTTTATGGGATGTTTCAATGTGTTGTCAACCGCTTTGAGATTTTTTTTTACAATCTAAAGCAGTATAGAAATGAAATTAATAATGATAATAATAATAATAATAATAATAATAATAATAATAATAATAGTGATACTGTAATTTCTTTGGCCCAGTCCAGCAGCCCTCTTCTTATATTTTTACAGATGCTTAATTTGTAGTTTGACTCTCAATGTAATGAACAGAAACTCCTGCCTTGAAACTAGAAAATATGGGCTGTAGTGGCCTTGGCAACTGGTGGTTGCCAAGCAACAGAGCCCGAGGCCTTCCTTCTTACTGGCAGCACTGGATCTTTACTGGTGGTTGCTGGGCTACATAGTTGGACTGAAGTCCTGTCTCCCCGCTTCTGCTTGTTGCTAATAAAACTAATTCTGGCCACAATCAGGGCAAAACAGGTTCTAGAAACATGGATATAGGACCACAGGTGTAGACTGGAATCCAGTATTTGTAATACAGTATACCCAGTGCTATATTTTTCTAGAAAAAGAGGTGCCGGAACTCACCATGAACACCTCCCACGTTCTCTTAGAATAGCAATGGTGCTCAAACTGAGTTCCTGTGAGTTCCGGCTGGGGGAAAAAGCCCTGAGTATACATTATTTTCAGGCAGAAATTAATTGGGAAGGGTTTGAAGGGCAGTTCTCAAGCAGAATTTTTTGTGCTTCAGTTCCCTTGCAAAAATGCTCATGTTCACCATTCCCAATATTGATTTTATTGTGCAGACCAAAACATTGAAAGTACCAAATTTGCCAAGTTGGACGTTATTGCCTTACATAACTCAAGGCTTTGATGCATCCCTCAAAAATTAATGTGGGAAGAGAGGCAACATGCCTAAGAACTCTCTTGTTTTTAATTTAGCCTGGACAGCATGCTTGGACTCAGTGATATTTTAATATCCTCTCTTTTAATATCCTTGTTGGAAAGGAGCATGCTTCACTTAAACAGCTAGGCACAGAGATTTAAACCATCAGGATGAAAACACAGCGCATGCAGCCCAACACAATCAAGTCTTCCAGAATTCCTGCCTGGTTCATTGACTTCATTACGCACATCACTCATGGGAAGCTAAAAGTCGTCATTAAGATGGACAATCTGCTCTTCTGCTGCAGTAGCGTGTAAAATAGAAGGATACCAGTTGCTCACTGCCCATAGCAAAAGGGAAACACAGGTGGCTAATTACTGAGAAGCACACACATCATTAAGGCAAGGTCAGTAACGCTGGGCCATGCCTCGAAGCGGTCAGCTTACGATACCGTACACAAAAACACAAGAATGGGCTGAACGAAACAATACACAACTCCCACAAAATGCACGCGTGCACACACCACGAAGGGTTAATTTTATTTGTTACACATGAAGCAGTTCCAAGGGCAGGGGAGTAGGGGGGGAGAGAGGGGGGCCCGGGTGGAGGAGCTCAGCTCAAGGAAACAGTTCAGAGTGGAGAAAGGTTAAGTGAAGGGATGGAAATCAGAGCCAGGTGCAAGTATTTTGAAGACCGTTTGTACAATGTCAATAGGAAGCTGACTCCAGCTCCTGCGCATATATTTTGCGGGATGAGCACAGCTACTTACCCATTTTACAGCAGGGAAAACAATGCAGAGAGAGGAACAGGGCTGCTCCTGGCAGATGGAAGTGGTTAAAATGGTGCAATGCTCATCAAATGTTGCAGCACAACCTACGAACGGGCTATGGCCTTACCTAAAGTGAGTTGCACCAATGAAGCCACTAACATCTACCAGAGGGAAAGACGAGGATAAAGACCGATGTGATAAGCGGTAGCTTTGCAAAATATATTAAAAAAGTGGTGTTTTTTTAAACAAGCGACAGGATGGACATAAAAACAAGTGGGTGTACATTTGCTGCTTAAAAGGGAAAAATAAGACCCTAGAAAAAGAAGACAGCATTTAACTTGTTGGAATGTATGTACATCTACTATGTTCTTTGCAAAGCAGGGTTTATATTTTGGTGAGAATAGCCCACCGGGTCTTAAATTACAAATTTTACGCCTGTCTTCATTCCAACAGAAAAGGATTAAGAAAAGAAAAGGGTGAGTGAGATGTGAGAAGAGAGAAAAGGAGAACAGTAGGTACATTGGAAGTCAGATTTTCTTAAAAATTGTCCCATGTTGCCAGAAACTGCTGGATACCTGTATCACTCATCCTTCCTTCAGGACCATTGAGCTTAGCTCTTTCAAAAGCAAGGGTGTGGATCCAATTCAGACATTACCAAGGTGCCAAGGAAGCAACCAAAATCCCATGTCCCACTACGCAGTTCTACATCACCTCAATGGCAATGAACTTCTTACGTGGGGTTGTGCTGATTACAGCATTCCCCGGCCCCCAAATACCACTGATATCCAGTTTTGTGGGACGGAACAAAATAAATGAGCGGCATTCAACTTTTACTCAGAGTAGACCTG